TTATCGAAATGTTGAAATGTATTCTTGATGAGGACACGAATGAAAAGCAAACGTTACCATTTGTGACCAGCATCCGCGCTTCTATCACCAATTGATTCTAACAATCAAGTGATGAAATATTCCTATTCAGAGAAATGACATGGTGATTTTACTGACTCAGGGCCATAGAAGGGGAATGGACTGCCTTTTTCTTGGGGGGGGAAGGCGAATGGGAGTTTCGTGATGAGACTGCACATAAATCGTGCACCTATGGATGAGGACAGTGGGTAGGAGTAAGGGCGGAGCGTGGGCCGGGAACTGGAAGGAGGGGAGTTATGGGGGGGGGGGGAAGAGGAACAAATGTAATCTGAACAATAAAAATTTAATAAAAAAAAAATAAAAAAAAAAAAGAAAGAAGCTGGGGTGCCCGGCAGAGCTGAGGGGGGTCGGGGGGGCCTGCAGAGCGGCCCGTGTGTATCCCAGGTCGCCACCTGCCGACATGAGGGCTCCGGTGGGCAGGTGAGGCCCACGCAGGGGCCCAGGGGACAGGGCTCTTCCCCCCCTGCCGCCCCCCCGCCCCCCCACCTCGGCCCAGGTCCCCCTCCCCCATCAGGCATCGTCCCCGCGGCCCGCCCTGACCTTCCTAAAACCCAGGCCCCGCTTGCCGCTGTGCTCAGACCGCACCTTCTCCCGAAGGACAAAACCTCGACCCCCAGCCCTGCATTTCTTTATAATTTTTACTTATTTTTGTTAATCCTCACTCAAGGGTATCTTTCCATTGATTTTCAGAGAGAGGGGGGAAGGAAGAGGGGGGACAAAAAAAAAAAAAAAAGAATCTCTTATGGTCTGGCCGGCAGGGCTCAGTGGTTGAGCATCCACCTATGACCAGGAGGTCACGGTTCAATTCCCAGTCAGGGCACATGCCCGGGTTGTGGGCTCAATCCCCAGTGGGGGGTGTGCAGGAGGCAGCTGACCAATGATTCTCTCTTATCACTGATGTTTCTATCTCTCTCTCCCTCTCTCTTCCTCTCAGAAATCAATAGAAATATATTTTAAGTAAAATATTTCTCTTATGGTTGTTAAGGAGATGACGTGAGGCTGCATCAGGTGGAACTGTGCAAAGAGACACCCAGCAGCAATTAGGTCTCTTCTCGGTCCCCATCGGTTAGTGCCACGACCCCAGGACCCTGGGACCCTGGATCCCTCCACGGAAGCTCCTCTCACCCCTTCAGGGGCAGACAGCACCTCCTTCCTTCAGGGTGAATGGAAGTCCAGTCCCTTCCTTCGAAGCGCACAGCAAAAGGGGTAATAAAACGTATTCCTGTGTTTTCTCCCTTCCTCCCGTCATCCCCCATCGCTGAGGTGAGATCAAAATCGGAAGAAAGTGTTTCTCTGGTTAAAAAACTCAGAACTGCCCACAACACAGGCTGCCCTGAGATAAGAATAAGGCGAAACACTAAATTTCGAGTCATTAGACTGAGAGCAGAACCAGAGGCAGCCGATCTAACTTCCATATTTTACCGAAAAGACTCATGCTCAGAGAGGAGCAGCAACATGTTTAGGGCTACACGGCTGGAGGGTGGCATGAATGTTAGAAAAACCCTATTCTGATGCCTAGATCAGTGCTCACTGTCTCCTGTGTCTGCTGTGATCCCCTGGGGGACCAGACCCAGGCCTCGCCTCCTTCTGCAGCCACTCTGAGAATCCAGGCACCTGTTTCCCTCTGTGACACGGACCACCAAACCAGCAGACAGGAAGGGTTCACATCTTCCCAGCCGGGGTGGCCCCTTGCTGCCCAGCTGGCTGAGCGCTCCTGTGCTGGTCATGCATTCAGCCCTAAAAGACGAGGCTCCGCCTGGACACCGGCCTGGTCCTGCCTGTGCAGCTGCTGTCCCCTCTGTCCAGCTGGATGGGTCCTTAGAGTCCTTTCGGGGCGAAGTCCTCACTGTAGACCAAGACTGCCAGGGGGTGTGTTGTGTCAGGGTCACACTCAAGTTAGACAAGGTCAAGATTGAGACCAATTGCCTAGCAACAGTGTGGGAAATTACCACACAGGTGGCCTGTCTCTTCCTAAAAGGTCTGGAATGAAGGCAGAAAAGCCCACGGCATCTGCTGGCAAAATAGGTGTGGCCGGGCCCAGGGAAGAGCTGGGATTTTTGCCCAGAAATGGATGAGGGTCTCAAAGCCATGGAGTAAAATCGGGGCCAATGTGTGCAAAACCTGAATATACCCTGGTGTCCTGTGGGGAACTCACACTTCTGTGGGCTGAGATGCTTGCAGCTGCTTGGTGAGGAGATTGAGTCTGAGAAGATAGGAGGGAGGAGAGCGCCTTCACCTTCCCACCACACTCACAAACACAGGACACAACTCGAGCCGCTGTCTTGCAGCCTCTGGCATCATCTGGAACCTCTCCTGGCTGCGCTGTTCCCGGAAGGCGGAAGGCGGGTGAAGTGTGGGCCCTGGGCCCGGAGCCACTGTCTGAGGGGACAGAGCACGGGGTGTGCCTCAGGCGACCGATGGAACCCTCCGGGCACTGTCACTCACTCCCTTATCTTAAGCAACACCTTTAACCTCTCGGCCTTAGCCTCGGTTGTCTGAGGAAACAGTGCTCTGTAAACGAGTCCCTGATGTGAGGTGAGAGTGAGGAGGAAGGAGGTAGGGACTGGCACGAACGCCTTGCCGTGGCCGTTCCCCTGCTCCCTGCTTCTGAGCAGGAGGAGAGGCCACAGCCCCGAGGGCTCACTGTGGCATAGACACTGGCCTCAGGGGGGTCTCTTCCCTCCACTGGCCCGACGTGCCGAGCAGAAAGACCGTCAGAAGACCCTGCTCACGGCTCCCCAGCCCCATTCCCAACACACCTCCACCAGCGAGAGGAAAGCGTGGCGCACTTCCCTGGTCTGCCTGGCCACAGGGAAGGCCATGTGACATAATTCGAGCCAATGAATCAAGAGCGAGAGAAGTTTGCTAGGGAGCTTTCGGTCAGCCTTGACTTCATACTCTGCAAACCAGAGCTAGGTTTCTCTACGAGCATCCAGTTTAAAGGAGGAAACGCTCTTAAATAACCATGAACCAACGGTGAGTCACAGCCTGTGGCCGGAGAAAGGCATAGTGAAGTGCTGCTGAATTTAAAAGGAGGGAGCTATTTCTTCCTAAGTGGTGACCAGGGACTGCTTCACGTAGGAGGCGGCATATGAGGTGGGCAGAGGTGAAACCCCAAGGTTGGAAGATTCAGGATGGTTCCCAGTCCCCATCTCACCGGCCCTGAGCTTCCCCACTGTTCTGAACCACTTAGAGGGACGCCAGCCGTTCTTGCCAAGTGATGTCACTGTAGCCCTGGCCATAATCCGGTATAATTGCATCTGGTGTACACAGCACTTTCTTCAAAATCCTTTAAAGATGCACTCTAATTCATCCCTCTGAAGGCAGAATGAAGGAGGAAGCTCACAGACAGGAAGTGGCACCCCAAAATTCCAGAGCTGTTTGGGAGGAGGGTCTGCCGGTCCCCTCAGCCATGTCACCCTTCCTGGAACTCACCACCTTCATCCTCACCCATGTAGACTCCAACCCCCTCTAGCTGTGAGGGAGGTGCCTCTATCCAATACGCATCATATAACAAATCCTCATTCAGAGTAAAGGCGCATGACATTCCTGTGAGGGGACCTGTACTTCGGGTTCATTATCTCGAAGAGCAAGTCGTGGATTTGCTCATGTTACCCACGTGTTTTCCCTGGGGACTGGTGGGAGGCTTTCTTGAGATTCATGACTGGGCTCAGGGATGGCCTGTCGAGTGGAAGCCAACCTGTTTCACTAGGACCAGTCTTCAACCCTTCTGAAAAAATGGCATGGACAACCGCAAGTGCAAAATTACCCATTTCCACACTTACTGGGATGGCTAGCACAAAAACACGCAGACAATACGTGTCAGTGAGCATGTGGACAGCTGAAGACCTTTCTGCACTGTTGGTGGGAATGTCAGATGGCACAGCTGCTGCGGAAAACAGTATAATAACTCCTCAAAAAATGAAACAATTATTGTGTGACCCACAGTTCTGCGTACTGAAGGCAAGGACTCAAAGAAATATTTGGATGCCCATGTTCTTAGTAGCATCACTTACAGATGAAAACAACCCAAATGTCCACCAACAGATGAAGATAGAAGCAAAATGTGGGCTATTCAGACCTTGAAAAGGAAAGAAATTCTGACACATGCTAGAATGCGGTGAGCCTGAGGACATCATGCTAACTGACATGTCAATCACAAAGGGACAAATATTGTCTGATTGATTACACTTATATGAAGTATGTAGAGTGGCCAAATTCATAGAATGGTGATTCCCAGGGGGCTGGAGGCAGGAGGCAATGAGAGTTGGTGTTTCATGGAGACAGAATTTCAGTTTTGCAAGATGAAGGGTCTAAAGATGGATGGTGGTGATGGCTGCACAACAATATGAATGTACTTACTGCCACTGAGCTGGACGCTTAAAAATGGCCACCTTGATAAATTCCATGTTATGTGCATTTTCCCACAAGAAAACATCATTCATCTGCAGCATCACTTTCTTTGAAAAACTTTGCTCCTAAGCTGTCCGGGTGAGTTGGTTTATTTTTTGGAGATCATCATAGTAGAATTCAAAAAGCCAAACTTTGAATCAGAAAGCCCAGCTTCAAATCTCAGTTCTGCTGCTGGTTGGCTATTTGGTCTTGTTCTTACTAGTATTGAGTTTTACTTTCCTTGTCTTTGTTTGGATGTAATAATATCAACTTTGACTGCTTCCCTGGCATATGTGAAAATCCAATGAGATAAATAATGTGACTATGCTCAGCAAACCACAGAACACTAAACAAATATAGAAGATTTTTGAGACAATGATGAAGTTCTCTCCGGGATCTACTGTAATATTTTCCAACTTTTCTTGCCAAGAAGTTCCTTCCATCACACCTACATTCCTTCGAAGGCAGCTGCAGCCAGCTCTGAAACAGCCTTTCCCTTGGGACATTTCCGTAGCCCTGGTTTAGAGATATTGCTATCTGGCAAGTGTCAAAGGGGACAGCAAGAACCATAAGCAGAGCCGTTTGGAACTATTAACTTTTGGGGCCAAGGACAGAATTTATCTCCAGGTCTGGTTTGGTTTGCAGATTCCGGGCTGTCATAGCAACCCCAAAAGCAAAGGAGGACTGTTTAGTGTCCTCTTGACTGCAGCCTGGGCCGGGAATGTGCTCAGGTTGGCCTAAATAAACAGTGTTCGCGGGTAACCGCTCTGTGCCCCTCCCTCTGGGCCGGGAGCTTCCTGCCCGGTGTCACTCAGCTCACCATATGCTGCTCCTCACCCTATGGCTCCACCAGATCCAAAGTGGGGAGGGAGTTCCTGGGATTAACTGCAGTGGAAGCAAACTTCTGCAGCCCATGTGGACGTGTGAAGCTGGCGTGGGGAGGGGTGGCTGGTGCCACGACCAGGGTACTTCAAGTTTCCCCCGGTCAAGTCTGCAGTTCAGCTCTGCTGAGCGATTCAAACATTTGCAACCAGGGCGGTGTTGAAGATCTAATGATGGAGATCTAAAAAATGCAATCTGCTTTACAATATACAACAGCAGGAAAATAAAATTAGTACACACCTCACTAAATCTTCAAAGATGTTATGATGTCATTTTTTAAATTGTTACATTTATTGTCATAGGATCTTTAACCTATTTGAAAACAATTCACAGGCTCATTTTTCATCATTGGCAGAATTCCTGATTATGTGAAATGATAGCCAAGAAATCATGGTTAGGCCACATTTCAAAAGTAAAATTATATAAGGCATTGCAATATTTTTATAGTGAAGAAAGTTAGAGATTGGGTATATTTTATTTTAAATATATTTTTATTGATTTCAGAGAGGAAGGAAGAGGGAGAGATGGAAACATCAATGATGAGAGAGAATCACTGATGGAATGCCTCCTGCGCACCCCCTACTGGGGATGGAGCCTGGAACTCAGACATGTGTCCTGACCAGGAATCAAACCCTGACCTCCTGGTTCATAGGTCAGCACTCAATCATGAGCCCCACATCTGGGCGAGATTGGATGTATCTTACTATGTTCAGTGTTGTGTGGTGCAGGCTGGGGGGCGGGGGGCTCAACAAAGGCACAGTGACCTCTGCCAGCACTTCAGTCTGGGACAAAGCTGCCCCCCAGCTCTCTGTGAGCAGACAGTCCAGTTCTTCCCGTGTGTCGCTGGCCCCTGCTGAGCTGCTGGCCCAGCGCTGGGGCTCAGAGTGGGTAAGTCCACGTGCGGGCCCTTTAATAGGAACACTGGGACTCCAGCAGCCTCCATCTCACTGAGCCACAGTCTCACTGGTTTTCACAGCCAGAAGGCTGGGGTCTTCTCTTCCCGGCTGGGGAGCCTGGTTTGGGCTGGGACCCCTTATTCCTGAGGGGGTGTGTCTGTAACTGAGATCTCACTCTCATTTTGTAACCACCACACGTGGGTAGGGGCCTACCAGTCTCCCCGTGGCTCCTCTGCAAACCCTGTTATGGGAACACAGTTCAGCTGGACTCCAGTTGTTCTTCAATACGGCTGCTCTGCAGTCTTAGTTGTAATTTCCATGTGGCCATGAGAGGAGGCGAGCACAGCTCTCACCTAGCCCACCGTCTTGCCCGGAGCCTCCAGTTCTTTCTTCCTTTGTTTCTTTCTTTCAATAGGCCCAGGCCATTGCTGTCTGCATTGAAGCAATGACATAGTGGGAAACTACGGACTGGGACCGCTTGTGCTATCCCTCTAGGGACCCAGGCACATTCTCGTCCAGCTAGTCCCCATCATTTTCTATCTACTGCAAAGTGAGATAACAACAGTTGCTCCCAAGAGTTCTTGTGAAAATTAAATTAGTAAAAGTGGTCTGTCAAGTGTTGGTAATTGTTATTACTACTAATAGTAACACCTGTCTAAACATCACTGGCCATTGCACAAACATTAATTTGCCCTCTACCCACTAGATTATTCCTATTATAAGGTGTACAGGAACCAGCCTATGTTTCTAGTTCTTTCTGTGTCCAGGTGAATATTGTATTCTGTCTAAAAGTCAATTTCATTAAACATGTTTCATTGTGATGTTGCTTCTCCATGTGAGCGATATTCAGAACTCCTGTGGAGGCATCAACTAACCCCAGAGGCCTGTAGCTGCGTCCAGTATCACCTGTCTAGTTGTTGGATCACACAGGGGGTTCAGGGGCACTCAGAGAAGGAGTCAGGGGTTAGGAGTGCTGGCCCCTGGTGCACTGGAAAATCCAGCTGTAACGTTGACTCCCTAAAAACTTCAGTCATTCCTCAGTATCCAGAACCAGCCCCCTACCCCTTACCCCACTTCCCCTTCAACCCCTCACCTCCTGCAGATACCCAAATCCTCAGATGCTCAAGTCCCTTCTATAAAATGGCATAGATCAATGCATACAGGGGCCCTTCACATCTGG